CCTATGATGAAAATTACAGGACTCTCATCTTTTTAAGTGGGAGAACTTGCACAATTGGTGGCTGACTAAATACTTTTTCCCCCCACTGTATATAGGTCCTGGATGGCAGGAAGCTTGGCCCCAGTGTGGTACTGGGCCATATGCACTACCCTCTGTAGCGCCTTATTGTCCGATGAAGAGCAGTTGCCTTAGCAGGCGGGGATGCAACCGATCAGGATGCTCTCGATGGTGCAGCTGTATAACTATTTGAGGATCTGGGGACCCATGCCAAATCATCTCCTGAGGGGGAAATGGTGTTGTTGTGCCCTCTTCACGACTGTCTTGGTGTGTTTGGACCATGATAGTTTGTTGGTGATGTGAACACCAAGGAACTTGAAACTCTCAACCCGCTCCACTACAGCCCCGTCGATGTTAATGGGGGCCTGTTCGGCCCTCCTTTTCCTGTAGTCCACGATCAGCTCCTTTGTCTTGCTCACACTGAGGTAGATTTTGATGTCCTGGCACCACACTGTCAGGTCTCTGACCTCCTCCCTATAGGCTGTCTCATCGTTGTCTTTGATCAGGCCTACCACTGTTGTGTCGTCAGCAAACTTAATGAAGGTGTTTGAGTCGTGGTTGGCCACGCAGTCATGGGTGAACAGGGAGTACAGGAGGGGACTAAGCATGCACCCATGAGGGGCCCCAGTGTTGAGGATCAGCGTGGCTGATGTGTTGTTGCCTACCCTTACCACCTGGGGGCGGCCCGTCAGGAAGTCCAGGATCCAGTTGCAGAGGAAGGTGTTTAGTCCCAGGGTCCTTAGCTTAGTGGTGAGCTTTGTGGGCACTATGGTGTTTAACGCTGAGCTGTAGTCAATGAACAGCATTTTCACATAGGTGTTCCTTTTGTCCAGGTGGGAAAGGGCAGTGTGGAGTGCGATTGAGATTGCGTCATCTGTGGATCTGTTGGGGTGGTATGCGAATTGGAGTAGGTCTAGGGTTTCCGGCATGATGGCGTTGTAAGCCATGACCAGCCTTTCAAAGCACTTCATGGCTACTGACGTGAGTGCTACAGGGCGGTAATCATTGAGGCAGGTTACCTTCACTTTCTTGGGCACACGGACTATGGTGGTCTGCTTGAAACATGTAGGTATCGTTGTCCTGTTGGAAGGTGAACCTTCGCCCCAGTCTGAGGTCCTGAGCGCTCTGGAGCAGGTTTTCATCAAGGATCTCTCTGTACTTGGCTCCGTTCATCTTTCTCTCGATCCTGACTAGTCTCCCAGTCCCTGCCCCACAGCATGATGTTGCCAACACCATGCTTCACCGTAGGGAAGGTGTCAGGTTTTCTCCAGACATGACCCTTGACATTCAGGCTAAAGAGTTCAATCTTGGTTTAATCGGACCAGAGAATCTTGTTTCTCATGGTCTGAGAGTCCTTTAGGTGCCTTTTGGCAAACTCCAAGCGGGCTGTCGTGCCTTTTACCTGGAGTGGCTTCCGTCTTGCCACTGTACCATAAAGGCCTGATTGGTGGAGTGCTGCAGAGATGGTTGTCCTTCTGGAAGGTTCTCCCATCTCCACAGAGGAACTCTGGAGCTCTGTCAGAGTGACCATCGGGTTCTTGGTCACCTCCCTGACCAAAGCCCTTCTCCCCCGATTGCTCAGTTTGGCCGGGCGGCCAGCTCTAGGAAGAGTTTTGATGGTTCCAAACTTCTTCCAATTAAGAATGATGGAGGCCACTGTGTTCTTGGGGACCTTCAATGTTTTAGAAATGTTTTGGTACCCATCCCAGATCTGTGCCTCGACGCAATCCTGTCTCGGAGCTCTACGGACAATTCCTTCAACCTCATGGCTTGGTTTTTGCTCTGACATGCACTGTCAACTGTGGGACCTTATATAGACAGGTGTGTGCCTTTCCAAATCATGTCCAATAAATTGAATTTACCACAGGTGCTCCAATCAAGTTGTAGAAACATATCAAGGAAGATCAATGGAAACAGGATGCACTTGAGCTAATTTTCGAGTCTCATAGCAAAGGGTATGAAGACTTATGTAAATAAGGTATTTCTGTTTTTTATTTTTTATAAATTAGCAAAAATGTGTAAAAGCCTGTTTTCGCTTTGTCATTATGGGGTATTGTGTGTAGATTGATTAGGAAAAAATGTTTTTCATCCATTTTAGAATAAGGCTGTAACGTAACAAAATGTGTAAAAAGGGAAGGGGTCTGAATACTTTCCGAATGCACTGTATACACTGAGTGTACAAAACATTAGGAACACCTTCCTATAATTATGTTGCTTCCCCTTTTCCCCTCAGAACAACCTCAATTCATAGGGGCATGGACTCTACAAGGGCACGAAAGCGTTCCATGTTGACTCCAATACTTCCCACAGTTGTGTCAAGTTGGCTGGATGTCCTTTGGGTGGTGGATCATTCTTGATACAAAAACCCCCCAGCAGCGTTGTAGTTCTTGACACACTCAAACCAGTGCGCCTGACACCTACTACCATACCCCGTTCAAAGGCACTTAAATATTTTGTCTTGCCCATTTACCCTCTGAATGGCACACTTCCACAATCCATGTCTCAAGGCGTAAAAATCCTTCTTTAACCCGTCTCCTCCCCTTCATCTACACTGATTTAACAAGTGAAATCAATAAGGGGTCATCACATTCACCTGGTCAGTCTGTCATGGAAAGAGCAGGTGTTCCTAGTGTTTTGTACACAGTGTATATGGATTAATAATGCTCCCCGTAAGAGCCTGATAGAAGCATCAGTGCCAAACACTGTGAGGTATGCCAGATGACATCACGTTAATTTGTGAAGCATGTCACTCAGTGTGCTTTCCAAAGCAAGGCAGGCCACCAGAAATAAAGACCTTTCATACCTGTGAAGCAACCGTGATAACCCCAGAACAGCCAACGATGTTCCACAAAGATGTAGTGTCACTGTTTAATTGGCAACATTCGTCAAGATTAAGAAAAGTCTAAATCATAAAACAAAGAATAATGTTTTGATTATTTGTAGGCTGACCTTTATTGTAAGACACTTTCTACTTGGACAATTAAATTCACTAGTCCTCTCATGCTCTCTCTGTCATGAAGATGCTGTGACCATCTAATATCATGAAGTTATATGCACATAACAGGGATAAGATGCTGAGCTCTGCTTAGTGCAAAATGTAGCCACTTTTTGTCATTCCCCCCCACTGATGCCCTAGGCCTAGGTGATCTTACAGGATTCAGGTCCATTGTATTTTTATAAAGCATGGAGCTGACTACTAGACTGAAGGAGGAAAGACAAACATGGGATTGTTTTTATCTGGATTACCACTAAATACAGCTTCAGCGCATTGAACACTGACCGGAGAACTGTGGAGGTTGAGAACATGCTTTTCAATTCACATATTCATAGGAATGTCTTATCTCACAAAATCTACTTTATTTATCTTTGGATAATCCATGCTATATTAAACATTTAAATTAGTTTTGTCATTATGACGCTCTCTGACTTTCTAGTTTTAATATACACAATCACAAAGATATACATTAATATTTTATTTAGAGAGGTCATAAAAAAACATGACGAGACAATTTATTTCAAAAGAACAGAAAAGCACGGTTTGAGTAGTATTTATCTGTGCTTAGTAGCCAAGGCTCCAATGAAATCAACTTGTTCATTTAGCAGACATCATAGGCCCTGCCCTAACACAGTCAACACACATATTTCACAGTAAGAATATAATGGAATATAACAGAAGAAAATAAAAATGATATTTTTTCCCCAAATGGCTATTGCTGATTGTCACCAGTAGCCACAGTTTTTCTAGGAAGAGGTTATATATTGAAACAGAGACCATCAGTGCAATCTGTAGAGTTGTTTGGCAGAAATAGATTCATTAGAAACCTTGGAATATGCTCTTTCTTCTAGGGTATAGCAATCAAAATGTCTGGCCTGCATGGACCTCTGTAGGAAGGTTATGGAAGAAGGGCTATTTGTAACTCCGTTCCCTTCTTTGTCAATTGAAACTGCACTGGTCATCAGTCTCTTCGTTCTCTATTTGTCAATTGATAATATTGTCACCCATCAGACTATTGTCAATTTAATATTATCTTTAGGCCACATTTATTATTATTATTATTATTATTATTATTATGTGTGAAATTAGTTTCAGTATAGTTTAGGTGTAGTTAAGATGGGCCAGCTGGGTAGGCAACTGTTTTCTTAGTCAGAAAATGCACTAGTCTTATTTTAGTATTTACAGTCTATGCGCTTCTGCATCAATTAATATATTTTCTGACTGATTACAATTTACATTTGGTGTCCTGAGGTTTCTTATGACCATTTTTAAACATAATAAATGCATTCATTCAGCAACATATTATTTATTAGGGAATATTTACAGAACTGCAATATTAACGGTCAGAATGACCGTCATGGCCATTCTAGTAGTGGAATTCGGGCGCTCCAAGTGTTAATTTAAAATAGTTGAGTATGACCATTACTGTGTTCAGTAAACAGGTGGTATGAAAATGTATGAACAGACTTAACTGTAAGTCACTCTGGATAAGAGTGTGGGGCGGCAGGTAGCTTAGTGGTTAAGAGCGTTGTGCCAGTAACCGAAAGGTCGCTGGTTCTAATCCCCGAGCCAACTAGGTGAAAAATCTGTCGATGTGCCCTTGAGCAAGGCACTTAACCCTAATTGCTCCTGTAAGTCGCTCTGGATAAGAGCGTCTGCTAAATGACTAAAATGTAAATGTAAAATGTAAATGACTAAAATGTAAAAAAAATGTTATGTAAAAAAAAAAATTGTTCATTTTGTGCACTGTATCAATCACATTCACAACCTATTTAGTAAATAGGAGTAAATGTATGCATTAGCTAATGCTAGCCACGCTATTGCTCATTATAGTGTCATTGTCATGTATACTAATCACTTTCTCTCCCCCCTCTTTCTCTCAATCTCTCTCTCTCTCTCTTTGTTCTCTCTCCTTTTCTCTCCATTTTCCTCTCTCTTTTCAGTGGATATGACTCTGCCGATCTTAGACACTCTGAGTCAGTTCCCAGAGGTTCCTGACCTGGGTCAGTTTCCTGTCATCCCTGTCGTTCCTGACCGGGCCACCCCGTCCCTGGTGGACGGTGAACCTATCCTGGGCAGTGGAGAACCTGACTTCTTCTCCTCTGCTGCTGTTACCATCACTCCAACACTGATCTTCATCAATGGCAAACACGAGGTGACCCTGGAGCCAGAGAGAAGAAAGGTAGAGGAGGAGGCAGGGAGAGGAAGAGGTGACCAGTTTGAGGGGAATGTGACCGTGCTGGGTGGCAGCGAGGAGGAGGTGACCCCCACTGTGTTTGATTACTCTCTGATAGAGATACCAGGTAAGCCTGATCATGAGGAGAGCTCTTTGGAGTCCACAGAGGAACCATTCTCACGTACCCCACTGCCTTTGTCAATGTCCACTCTGGATCAAATTTTTTATGACTATGGGCCTGAGGTGGTTCATGTGGCGTCAACTCCTCCTACACCCCCAGAGCAGGTTGAGGGAACCACACAAGGCCCTGCTGTGCAGCCAGATGTGACTGCAACCTCTGCACCTGTCACAACAATGGTGGGAACCACTCCATCCAAAACGGAGCAAACAGCTGAGAGTGTGTCATCTGTTTCAGAGACCACAGACGGACCAAATGACGTCATAACTTCATCCACTGAAGCAGTGTCCACTGTTTCACCATCTGGCACAGCAGTGACCAACGCTTCAGAACAAACCCAAAGCCAAACATCTTATGCACCCACGACTCCTGAGGGAAGCCAGCAAGTCAGCACCTCTGTGTATGACAAAGAGGTGGAGGGGTCAGGGACACAACCCCCGGATAATGACAGGGATGCTGAGGTGACTCGGCCAGAAGGGGAAGAGCCCTCTGTTTCTCCCACAAAAGAAATACACGTGGCTGCTGGTGACATTGCGGAAGTAACAAATAGCACCTCTGCTGTTCCAGATTTTGAAATCTCTACTGAAACCCCTCTGTCTGTCTCTACACCCTCTTCTGGTGATGTTGAAGATGTATCAGTGCCAGTGACCATAAGTGACATTGAGGGCCCCACCTCAGGTGAGGAGGAAGGATCAACACAGGCCACACACACTCCTCAGGAACCAGCTAGCATCACTCTGCCTCCCTTATTGACAAGTGGCCAGATAATTTTAGGAGAAACAATCAAGACTGAGGTGATGCCATCCAAAGAGGCAGGCAGCACAGAATCACCTTCAATGATCTCTACCACAGCTGAATCTTTGGCAAGCCAGCAAGAAGGAACAACAATTAGCCTGCCTTCAGTGTCTCCCACAGTGAAATACTCTACTGCAACACATGTCATTTCTGTACATGGGGAGGAGAGCTCAGGAGACCAAACTCCTGAAATGTTCACGACCAGCTCTCCATTATCCAGCACAGAACATATTTTGTTAGGATCCATAATAACATCACCAAGAACAAGCTCATCAGACACTACAGAACAAGAAACAAAGGAAAGAGAGGTAACAGCACTGACCAAAGACACAACAGGCACAGAAAAAACATCAGTTGTTACTATCATTGTTGAGACTGAGACAAGCTCAGCCTCCACTTCTACAGATAAAGAGAGTTCTGAGAGTCCAGTGACATCTCCAATGCCCACCAAAGAATATCCTGCAACACCTGGCTCTCCAACATATAGTACTATTCAGATGATTAAGACAACCATGGCATCTCTATTAGACTTTGTCAGCCAATATACCATAGAGGGCACAATTGTGACAAGTGATTTACCTAAACAAGAACAGACCACAAGCAAAGATAAACCTTCACTTACCCCAAGTCTTACGGAGGTGGAAAGTTCAGGTGATCCTGATATGTCTACTAGCACAGCTACTGCAACACCTCTCTCTCTTCTTTATAGTACAGTCAAAACAGAAGAGGATGTGACCACAACCTCAACAGCAACCAGTGAGGCTACAGAGCAAACGGAGAAACCATCAGCTACTCACGTTATTGATGACACAGAGACTAGAACAACCATTACTTCTACAGATGAAGAGAGTTCTGGAGATAAGACAACTCAGAAGTCCACTAAGGAGTCCCCTGTGACAACAGTATTTCCTATGTTCAGCACAGGCAAAAAGGAGGATGATAGATCAACAGTATCATCAAGCATTGAACCCAGTGAAACGTTTGATGTATCAGCAACAGTCTCACCTTCTGTGACTATCAGCACAGCTGTTTCTAGTGGAACTACAATGGATACTAAGGTAACAGATGCAAGCTCAACCCTATCCTCTACAGATGAAGTGACCTCAGGTGACCAGGCAAGTGAGGTTTTCACCAAAGACACTGCAACTGACACAGTGTCTTCTCTGTATGGCCCTGATAAACCAGTTATTACTACAACAGTGTCACATGAAACAGCAGATAGTACCGTTACAGAGCAGACTGAGAAACTGGCAAGCTCAGAAAAACCCTCATCTATTCCTGTTACAGAGAAAAGCTCAGTCCTTACTTCCACAGATGAAGAGAGCTCAGGTGACCAGACGCCTGACATGTCTACCAAACACACTCCAACCAGCACAGTCTCTTCTCTGTTTAGCACTGAGAAACCAAAACATGTAATGTCTACAACAATGTCACATGAAATAGAGGAGAGTAAAGCTACAGGAACTTCTGCTACTGATACAGAGACCAGCTCAATCCTCTCTGCAACAGATGAAAAGAGCTCAGGTGACCAGACTTCTGATATGTTTACCAAAGAGCCTGTCATTACAACTGTTTCTTCTGTTTATAGCACAGTCAAAGCAGAACAAATGTCAACCACTGCAATGCCAGATATAATAATCACAACAGGAGAAGGTGAAGTTACAGAGCAGACTGAGAAACCATCAGGCTCAGAAACACCATCAGTTACACCTGTCATTGATGATGCAGTGATGAGCACAGTTATCTCCTCTGCAGACGAAGCGAGCTCAGGTGACCAGACAAGTGATATGTTCACCACAGACTCTGTAACTACAACAACCACAGCGTATTCTCTGTTTAGTACTGAGAAACCAGAACATGTAGTGACTACAGCATCACATGAAACTGTAACAGCTGACACTGCTACTTCTACAGTTGTGTCTTTATATAGCACAGAGAAAACAACAATGTCACAAGACACTGCAACAGTGGAGACAGTCACAGAAGTCACAGAGAGGCACACAAACACAGAAAAACCTTCAGGTACCCCTGTTACTGGTTACACGGAGACAAGCTCTGATGTTCAGACAACTGCATCAGTACTTACCATTACAGATGAGGAGAGCTCAGATGATCAGACCCCTGATATGTTTACCAAAGACACTGCAACTACCACCGTGTCCTCTCTATTCAGTACAGAGAAACTAGGACTTGTAGGGACTACAGCTTCATATGAAACTGCAACAGCTGAGACATCAAAGATTACAATATCTGCAGCATATTCTTTGTATAGCACTGAGAAACCTACAACAATGTCACGAGAAACTGCAACAGCAGAGAGTGGAAAGACCGCTACAACTACAGCAACGTTGCTCTACAGCACAGAGAAAACTGCAGAAAGTACAGCCACAGATAAACCTTCAGTTACTCCGGTTTCTGATGGCACAGAAACAACTTCCTCTTTATCCACTACAGATGAAGAGAGTTCAGGTGACCAAACAAGTGAGATTTTTACAAAGACTTCTTCTGTGACACCTGCATCTTCTTTGTACAGAACAGAAGCAACAAGTTTAGTTTCCATTAATGTCACATTATCCACGTTGCCAGATATTATTGAAGTGGTGGACTATATAACTATTGCATCAGCTACAGTGATCGGCACCTCACGGGAAGCATTAACTGAGATAACAGAATCTGAACCGACTAGACAAACAGGAAGGACATCAGGTATTCCCAATATTGGCAATACAGAGACAAGCTCAATCCTTGATACTTTTACCAAAGAAATTGCAACTACCACAGTCTCCTCTCTGTTCAGTACAGTGAAACGAAGCCAAGCAGTGTCTACATTGTCACATGCATCTGCAACAGCTGAGACTTCAAAGACGGCTGTTACTGCAGCTTCATCTCTATATAGCACAGAGAAACCAGGACAAGTAACAGAAAAAGCTTCAGTTACCCATATTACTGGTGACACAGAATCAAGTTCAGTCCTCATCTCTAAAGATGAAGAAAGCTCAGGTGACCAGACAACTGAAATGTTTACCAATACTTCCTCCTTAACACCTACATCTTCTTTGTACAGCACAGAAGCAACACGTTTAGCTTCCATTACTGTCACATCATCCACTTCGCCAGAAATTGACGAAGAGGTGGACTATGACATAAGAGCAGAGCCTCCACTCGTTGAGTCTATACCTTTTACCGTTCAAACAACCACAAAACCTGAGGCAGAACCTACAATCATCAGCACTGCCCCTGACACCAGTTCAGTCCTAATTTCCAAAGACGAAGAGAGCTCAGGTAACCAGACCCCTGATATTTTTACCAAATACACTGCAACCACCACAGTGTCCACTTTGTTCAGTACTGAGAAACCAAGACAAGTAGTAACTACAGCATCACATGAAACTGCAACCTCTGAGACTTCAAAGATTACAATCCCCACTTCTCTATTTAGCACTGAGAAAACTACAACAGTGTCACATGAAACTGCAACAGCAGAGAGTGAAAAGACTGCTACAACGACAGGAATTTCTCTGTTCATCACTGAGAAACCAGGACATATAATGACTTCAGCATCACAGGAAACTGCGACAGCGGAGTGTAAAATGACTGCTACTACAGTTTCTTCTCTACATGGCACAGAGAAAAAATTTCATGTTGAGAGTACCCTCCCAGAGGAGGAGAGCTCAGGAGTTCAGACTCCTGATATGTTTACTATGCAGTCCGATGCAACACCTCTTCCTCCAGTGTATAGTACAGTCGGAACAGAACAGCCAGAGGAACCATCAGGCTCAGAAATGTCATCAGTTGTTATCATTATTCATGAAACAGAGACAAGTGCCACCCTCACTTCAGAAGAGGATATAAGCTCAAGTGGTGCACCAATTGAGATGTTCACCAAGGAATCTGTTGCAAAAACTGCATCCGCATCAAAGTCAGTTAGTGCTTACACTACATCAAGACCAACAGTGACCTCAAGTTCAATCTTGACACGTACAGAAGAAGACAGTTCTGGTGACCAGACCCCTGATATGTTTAGCAAGGTGAAAGCCTCGACAATTGATTTTGTCAGTAGTTATACCACTCCTCATACATCAACTGGACAGGTGACAGAATACACCGGGGCCTCAACACAGGCTACTCACAGCACCTCTACACCCATAGACATGGAGAGATCTGGAATCTCAACTACAGAGGATGACCAAGAGACAACTCAGCCAGAGGGTTCAGGTGAGGAGGTACCAGTGGAGACCACCACTAAACCACAAGACCAGTTCACTGTAGCCACAGATGAGACCGAATTCAAAGAGACAGAGAGTACATCTGAGGCTCCAAGTGTTGCATCCTCAACATGGTCAACACAGATCAGCCAAGCATCTATATCAACCCTATCTCCTCTCTCCACTAGCACAGCTGAGACAATAGAATCAGCCACAGCTTCATTGTCTGAGCAGGGAAGTGGAGACTTCACAGAACCCTCTACTTCAGAAAATGAGGCCAAAGAGGATGAGAGTTCAGGTGATGACACATCTGCTGTTACAACAGCCCCACTGCATACTACATCATCTTCAACAGACTCAATGGTTACAAAATCAGTAAGTGTAACTGATGGAACCAAGGGGGTTGAACAGACAGAAGAACTAACAGGCACAGAGGGACATTCAGCTGGCTCTGACTCACGTGTGGCCGCCTCAGTGGTCACATTCACAGACGAGGAGAGCTCTGGCGACCTGACACCTGATATGTTTAACAAGGAATTTGCTACAGCAACATCACCAGGGTCAGAAGCTGTGATGACCAAATCTTCCTCCCCAATCATCAGCAGTGACCCATTCCAAAGCACAACTGTAGGAACAGTCATCACACCCACAGAAGAAATGGATGATACACCCTTATACTCTCCCACTGCAGACATTGAAACTGTGGAGCTTTCTGTGGACCAAACAACTGGACTAGCAAGCACATCAAAACCCTTTGTCACTTCCTTCACTTACGTAGACATGGAGGTCTCTGAAATCTCACCAACAGATGATGACCAGGAGAAAAGCCAGCCAGAAGGGTCAGGTGAGGAGGCACCAGTGGAGACCACCACTGAACCACAGGACCAGTTCACTGTTGCAACAGATGAGACTAAAATCAGAGAGACTGAAAGCACATCTGAGACTCCTAGTGTTGAATCTTCAACAGAGTTCACACAGTCCCAGAAATCCACATCAATCATATCTCCTTCCATATCAAGCACAGATAAACCAACAGAGGCTTCCAAAGCCTCTTTCACAGAGCAGGGTATTGATGACTTGACAATAGACTCTACAGCTGAGGCTGAAAGGACAGAGGACAAGAGTTCAGGTGAAGACATCTCTGATGTGTCTGCTAAGCAACCTGCAAACACAACTTTTCCTCACCTGTCTAGTACAGCAACAACAAAGGAGGATTTTACCACATTTTCTGTCAGCAATGAAACCATCCAAGAAACAGATGTTGAGATTGATGTAACTATATCATCTGGCATAACTGCAAAGGTTACTTCTAGCAAAGCTCAGACCCCGGAAAGTGATGTGACAGATAAACCATCAGTTGCTTCCATTTCAAATGTAACACGCACAAACAAAGAAAGCTCTGGTGACCAGACTCCGGATATGTTTACCAAAGAGTCTGTCAATGCAAAAGTTTCTTCTGTATACAGCACAGTCAAAACAGAACAAGTCACATCCACGAATACAGTTTCTTCTCTGTTCAGCACAGAGCAACCAGGAAAAGTAATGACAATAATGTCGCATAAAATTGCAACATATCATACTGCAAGTACTGCTACAACTTCAGCTTCTTCTCTATATAGCACAGAGAAACCATCAGTTGCTTCCATTTCAGATTTAACCTCCACATATGAAGAAATCTCTGGTGACCAGACCCCTGATATGTTTACCAAAGATGGAGTAACTACAGTTTATTCTCTGTTCAGCACTGAGAAAGTCGTGACTACAGCATCACATGAAACCGCAACAGCTGAAACATCAAAGATTACAATCACTGCAGCTTCTTCTCTGTATAGCACTGAGAAACCTACAACAACGTCACAAGAGACTGCAACAGAAGAGAGTGAAAAGACTACTACAACTACAGCAACTTCTCTGTTCAGCACTGACAAGCCAAGACGAATACTGACCACAGCGTCACATGAAACTGCAACAGCTGAGACCACAAGAACTGCTACAACTTTACCTTCTCTGTGTAGCACTGAAAAAACATCAGTTGATTCCATTTCAGATTTAACCTCCACGGATGACGAGAGCTCTGGTGACCTTACCCTTGATATGTTTACCCAAGAGTCTGTCACTGCAGCGGTTTCTTCATTGTACAGCACTGTCAAAGCAGAACAAGTGACAACCACAGCACTGCCACATGTAATGACCACAGAAGAGAGTGAAGTTACAGAGAGAGAATCGGGCTCAGAACAACCTGTTGCTACCGTCACTTTCACACCATCCACTTTGCCAGATATTGATGAGGTGGTGGACTATAACATTAGCGCAGAGGTTTCACTGGTTGAATATTTACCTTCAGCTGCTCAGACTACCACAGAACCTGAGGGAGAAGCTACCATATTCAGTGTTTTCCCTGACACAGAGACAAACTTAGTCGTCTTCTCTACAGATGGAGAAAGCTCAGGTGATCAGACCCCTGATATGTTTACCAAAGAGTCTGTCACTGCAACAGTGTCCTCTCTTTTCAGTACTGTCAAAACAGAACAAGTAATGACCACACCAATGTCAACAACAATCCAAGCTTCTCAGACTTCCATATCACCTCACTCTGACTACACCACTCCCAAGACAACTGGTGTCGATGACATAACAAAACCGATGGCATTCACAATCACACAACAACCATCAACTGAGAGAGACACATTCAGCGAGGCAACAGGCCAAACAGAATCCATTGTGTCAAGCATACCAGGCATAGATGAGGAAGGTCATGTCAGCCCAGACACAGAAACCACCATTATTCCTGAGGCTTCACAGTCTCCTGTTACTGTGAGTGATCGTACAACTATGAGTGACCGTACAACACACCGATTCCATACAACCAAAAGAGATCATACTACAGTGAGAGCCCATACAACGAGTGATCATTTAACCGTTGGAGACCACACTGTAGCAAGAGACCACACAACGGTCAGAGATCATACAACAGTGCCTTTTGGATCACAGTCACCCACTGTTATCCCCTCTATTATCTACCAGGGTTTTACCGACCAGCAGGTTATGATCATCACCTCAACCAGCAGCCAAACCAAAACTGACCAGACCCCCACCATGGTGCTGCACCGTACGAAACCATCGACAAGCACAGTTATCATATTTACAGAGGAGGTCAAAGATGAGGACGCACTGTTCTCCACTGTCACAGACAGCACAACCCCTGAGATTATCACTAAAGATGACACAATCATTGACGCAGATACTGCGTCAATGGTGGTCCCCTCCTCACCATTCTACCCCACCATCTTTGCAGAGGAAGCAGGGGGAGTCACAGCCGTTACCATGACACCACAGTCCTCAATTGCAATGATAGAGGAACCTGAAGGGTCTGGGACAGATTACTACTTGTCTTCCACAATTGACCCATCGAGTCTGGCTACAACACAAATTCCATCAGTCACCTCCGTAAATATATCTGCAGAGGCAAATGCTGAGGTGACAAGCAGCTCTACACAAGTTGAAGATTCAGAGACTGTAAGAACGACCACCACGTCATCTGTAGAGGATGTTGAGGCATCTAGTTCAGAGGTCTTGTCCACTGTAGCTCAAACCACTCAAGCCACAACTCGTTCCACAGAGTCCAGCTCTCAGACGGCCTTCACCACACCATATATATTTGTTAATGAGTTCTCCGGAGATGGTGTCACTGAAGAGGAGTTCGGTACAGAGACTACTCCTTCTGCCCCTGTATCATCCCAAGCATCAACTCACCCCCTAGATGTAAGCTCACAGACCACAGTTAGCAGTGAGGATGATGGATTCCTGACAGATGAGATGGAATTATCCACCACCCCTTCTCCTACTACTATTGAATCTGCAGAAAAAGGCCCATCTGATGAGGATTCTAAAGTGGAGAACACAACAACTTTATCTAGTTCCATGCAAGCCACCGTGGTGTCTGCCACTGCTACACAACAGACATCACTGTACACTGGGGAAGACAGAGAAACTGTGAAATCAACCAGCCTATTGCCTATTGATGAGTCTTCAGGAGATGACAACTCTGAAGGCTCTGGAACCTCCACCTCTGTAGTGGAGACCTCCCAAACCACAACCCCCACACCAGACTCAAGATCAACAGCTACTAAGGAGGGTGAAGTGACAGAGGTTACAACTCCAGTACCTTCAACCTCAGAGGAGGGCATCTTTGGGGAGGACATGACAACTTGGACACCCAAACCCTCTGAAACCACACCCTCTCTGTATAGCACAGAGAAATCATTAGTTGCTTCCATTTCCGATTTAACCTCCACAGATGAAGAAAGCTCCGGTGACCAGAGCCATGATATGTTTACCAAAGACACTGTAACTGCAGCTTCTTCTCTGTATATCACTGAGAAACCTACCACATCATCACAGGAAACTGCAACAGCAGAGAGTGAAAATACTTCTACAACTACAGTTTCTTCTCTGTTCAGCACAGAGAAACCATTACAAGTAACAACAACGTCACATGAAACTGTGACAGATGAGACTGCAAGGATTGCTATAACTTCATCTTCTTATCTCTACAGCACTGAGAAACCTTCAGTTGCTTCCATTTTGGATATAACCTCCACAGATGAAGAGAGCTCAGGTGAGCTGACCCCTGATATGTTTGCCAAAGGGTCTCCAACTACCATAGTTTCTCCATTTGACAGCACTGTCAAAATGGAGCAGGTAACAGCCATAACAATGCCACCTGAAAAAGCAATAGCAGAGATTGAAAAGACTACAACTACTACAGTGTTGTCTCTGTTTAGTACTGAGAACACAGAGAAAGCTGTCCAGCCATCTGTAATGCCCGATGTGGTGGTCCAGTTTGTCACAACCTTTGTTCCCGAGGTGGACGTGACAAAACCTAGGGAATCTTTTCAACAGGCCAGGTCTGAGATTGCATTTACCCAACATCCTCTCACTGACGTCTCTTCTGAAGAAACTGTAGAGGCCACCACAAGTCCCATGTTGCCTGAGGTAGATTCAAGGGACACCATTGACACTGTAACCACACCTGCACAGGGCTCAGAATCACCTTTTGTCTCCACAGGCTTCTACAGCAATACCATTTAAATCAGAAGTTGAATCATCAAGCCAGGGACCTACAACAGAGAGAGTTTCTACTGACATAGAGGTCAGCTCAGAACAAGACAGTGAGGTCGAAGGGACTTCCACTCCCACCAGTATTTCTATAAAGGAGGAAGTGACCTGGGATATAGTTACTTCTCCAGTCACGGACATAGCCACTGCAGTGTACATTACGCCTGCTTCCGCTGCGGTCACATCTGCTTTGCCGGACATTGAGGAAGAGATGGACTATGAAAATATTCCCAATCTGTCACAGGTTGAATCTGAACCTGCTGTTCATACAACCACAAAACCAGAGGGAGAACCTACAGCTGTCAGCACTGCCCCTAACACAAGTTCAGTCTTCACCTCCATCGACGAAGAGATCTCAGGTGATCAGACACCTGCTATGTTTACCAAAGAGTATGCAGCTACAACAACTACAGTTTCTTCTCTGTTTAGCACAGAGAAACACACAACATTATTACAGGAATCTGTAACAACAGAAACTGAAGGCACAGACCAAACCAAGGGACCAGCGGTTACTTCCTGTTATTGATGAGGCAGAGGCAGAGACGAGCCCAGTACTACAGGTAATGAAAACAACAAAATCACCAGAAGTGAGTACAGCTATTGATCAGACCGAAAAGCCATCAGACTCTGAGGAGTCTGTTACTCCAAGTGTTGATGACACAGAAACAGGTTCTACAGATGATGAGAGTTCTGTAGACAAGACAACTCAGATGACAACCCAGAAGTCTCTAGAGACAGAAGTTCATTTGCACAGTAGCACAGCCAACCCATTTCAGACATCCACATCACCAGTCTCTGAATCCGTGAGTGCCTCTGCTAAAATAACTGGTGATAGTGAAGAAACAGAACAGACAGAATCAACCAGCACAGAACAGCCATCAGATGTTCCCAGTTCAATGGAAAGCACTGTGAGCTCAGTCCTACCTGATACAGATGAGGAGAGTTCAGGTGACCAGACTCCTGATATGTTTACCAAAGAGTCTGTCACAATTTCAGCTGAGTCTCTGTATAGCACTGGGAAACCTACAGTATCTTCACATGAAACTGTAACAGCAGAGACTGAAGTCACAGAGGAAACAGAGAGGCCATCAGGCTCAGAACAGCCATCATCTACTCCTGTTATTGATGAGATGGAGACAAGCCCAGTCCTCTCCTCTACAGACAAAAATAGTTCAGGTGATCAAACCCCTGATATGTCTACCAAAGAGTCTGCCACTGAACAAGTAACAACCACAGCAATGCCACATGTAATGACCACAAGAGCAGATAGTGAAAAGATGGCAACTGCAAAAGTGTATTCTCTGTACAGCACAGAAAAACCCGACTCAATGAGTGACCTTTCCTCTGCTGAAATAACTGCTGATAGTGAAGAAACCGAACAGACGGAATCAACCAGCACAGAACAGCCATCAGGTGTTCCCAGTTCAATGGAAATCACTGTGAGCTCAGTCCAACCTTATACAGATGAGGAGAACTCCGGTGACCAGACTCCTCATATGTTTACCAAAGACTCACCAACTACTACATTTTCTTCTCTGTATAGCACTGAGAAACCTACATCAACTTCACAGGAAACTGTAACAGCAGAGAGTGAAGTCACTGATCAAACAGAGAGACCAGCAAGCTCTGACAAACCATCAGTTACTGATGATACAGAAACCAGCTACGTCTTACCTTCTACAGATGACAAGAGCTCAGGTGACCAACCTGACATCTTTTCTGAGGAAACGGCAATGCCCACAACCAGTCCCATGCTGCCTGAGGAAGATTCAAGCCAGTCTGTTGAATCTATAACAACACCCGCACAGAGCTTTGAATCAACTTTTGTCTCCACTGCTTCTCCAGTGAAGACTGATGCTGTACTATCTACATCAGAGGATGTTGAAGCTTCAAGCCAGGTACCTACAACAGAGGATGCTTCTCCTATTGCAGAGGGCAGCTCCAAACAAGAGGCTGAGGTCGAAGAGACAGCCATTCCTACCATTGTTTTCTCCTCTAACTGAGAAAGTGTTAGTAACTAAAGTGTATAGTACACCATCTGCAACGGCAGACATCGATGAAGTAGTGGAATATGAAAGTATTACAGAGCCCTTACAGGTTGAATCCAAACCTTCCCTCGTTGAAACTAAACCTTCCCTCATTGAAACTATCACAAAACCTGAGGTAGAAGCAACCATGCTCAGCACTGTCCCAACACAGACTCAGAAGATTGAGAGTGCATCATCAAGTTCAGAGAGCAGTTCATCGAGCAGGTCAGAGGAAGAGTCTTTGACTCGGTCAGTATTAGCCTCCTCCAGCTCTGAAAGCAGCTCAGGAAGCAGCTCGGAGACCAAGGTGACCATTGCTTCCACTGTGAAGCCAGAGAGTGACACAACAGAGGAGACCACTCCATCCCTCTCTGTTATTCAGACAGAATTGGTAGCCACTGTCACTGGTTCACCCTCTCTCATGCTTCCTAGGGCTGAAATTGAGTCAGCCGGTTCTGAGAGCAGTCCCAAAGGAAAGACGGGTTCTGAGAAGCCAGAGATTGATAGAGAAACCACCCCATCGTCGGCTGAGATTCAGACCTTATTTCTGCCAGGTGTTACCAGTCCACCATCTCTCAAGTCTCCAGACACTGGGGCGGAGTCCGTTAGTGTCAAAAGCTCCCATGAAAAACATGAAGCAGTGGGTCAAATTGAGGAAGTTGTTACTCCTGCCACTAAGATGCCAATGTGGGAAATGCCAGAGTACACAACTGTCTCGCCAGCTGAAACACAGAGCCAGGCAGAATCAGTCTCTATGATCCAAAGCACTCCTTCATCTGTGTCTGAGGAGGAGGAAAGTCTGGACTATGATAATGTATCAGGACCTACATTAGTCGAGGGTGAACCCCCCATCAAGGTAGTGGAAACTATCACTTCAGCTGAGACTGGACTGGATTTGGGCCACACGACTGTTGGTGAGACAGTTGAGATTGCAGGTATGTGATTTTACAAATGGCGGCCAATACTAGAATTCTATTTTGTGTTATGGAAATAATATCATATCATACTTTTTACCGTTTGTCATTTAACGTTTGTCTTCTCCAGAATGTGAAATCAATTGAATGTTTGTTTTCTTCTTTTTACTTCTAATCTAAACCACAGGCATCCACTCCTGTGCTGAGAACATTTGTCTGAATGGGGGCTCTTGCTACAGAAGCGGAAGTCTCCAATCTTGCGGCTGTGCCCCTGGCTACAGTGGAGATCGATGTGAAACAGGTATGCCAAGAATGGTTTTCAGTCAGTGGTGGACTAAGCGTTTTAGAGTGTGATGATCTGTTCTCAATATGCTAATGAAATGTATCTCAAATAAGACACTTTTTGGTGGCTTACTGGTGTAGCAGCGTCGGTGCATTAGCCATGTGCCAAAATTAGATGAATGGTATTATCTGCAAATTATTTGAATTCTTCGAGTTCATCAGACAATAATTAGTTTTCGTGTTTACGCTGCAAAATGCAGCTGTCCCCCCCCACCATCTGAATGGTTATGCAGTTCTTGAAAAAGAATTGGTTTCCTGTGCAGTGTAATCTACCCATGTTTTTTCACAATTATTTTCAGACATTGATGAATGTCAATCCAACCCCTGTCGCAATGGAGGTACCTGCATTGACGGCCTGAATTCCCTCACCTGTGTTTGCCTCCCAAGCTACGCTGGATTGTATTGTGAAGAAGGTATGTTTGTTACAATTTCCATGGGATCCGTCAGTAAAACCTCTGTCAGTATGATTCTCTCCTCGTCTAACACATCAGCTTAATCAAAGAATTTCATTAGGTATTTGTTTTAGGTTGTTCCAGGCTTCCAGCTAACCCTATTTATTTATTTTTTATGTCCGACCTACAGTGTATCCACACGTTAGAGCAATGGTACATACAAGGGAGAATATGACATTGTTTATTTTACTATGTCATTGTTCTTAGCAACAGTGTGAGGTGCTCCAGAGCTGGTTTCTATTTCACACAGAAATACATCACTGATCATTGAATTTAGATCACAGAGGAAAGACATTTGGCATTGTTGGGGAAAAGTGATAGATCTCCAGATAGTGTGCGTGTGTGAGATCTATCTTAATCCGTGATCAGCCCTTGGGAAATAGAGAGACTATGAGACTGAGTCATTAAAACACTGGAGTTAGAGGCCAAGTTAAAGTAGAAATGTGTGGTCACCTCCCACCTCACAGCACAGCTCCATTCAGTGCCTTCTCCATAACCCCTGCTGCTTCCACTCACAGACAGTCTCTGAGTCATAAACATCTTTATTTATGTCTTCAGGACGTCCACATTTTACAGGCCTTAGTGTTGGCCTCAGGGGCTCATACTATTAAGATATAGGGTAGTGTTGCTAAACACATTGCCAGGGGCTACAGTCTCTACAAATTCCACATGACTGGAAACACAATGAAGAAATCACAGACATTTGGTTGATAACCACCCAGTCCAGGTGTAAAGGAACTTTCCAGTACACGTGTGCTAGACTTCAAGACGCTCAACAATGATGCAATCATTCACTGGCCTTAAGCAGGGAATGTGAAAGGAATCAGTAGACATTACTGTATTTGTTCAACAGAACCTGGGTCGGGACACTCATTGACATTGATGGGTGTAATAACTAAGGATGATGTCATCCAGACCAACTCATAGCCTCTTATTCTCTAGCGAGTCTATAGCTTCGCTGCACCTCATTTTGTCCCTAGTGTGTTGACCAAGGGCATCATCCACAATGGCCAGTTTGTCCTGACCACACCCCGAATGTTGATGCCGTCACTCATCAGGGCCGGATCCCGTGTGCTAAAACCCAACTCTTTTCTAAGGGTCTCGTGCCAGAAGAGAAACAGTAAAGGAGGACAAACAGAGAAAAGGCCACGATGACCTCTTTCTGTGTGTGTGTGTGTGTGTGTGTGTGTGTGTGTGAGAGAGAGAGAGATAACTGTATCATGACAGGGTTACAATCAAAATTGTTCATAAAATCTGATATTGAAAAAAGAAACATAGATAACTACTAGTGTAGGCTAACTGATCTTTTTTCGAGAAATTGTTTTTTTGACCAATCAAAGCTGATCAAAACACCACTAAGTGAAAAAAATATCTAAATTGGGCTGCCTGTGTAAACGCAGCCCTTATGTAACGAGGTTAGGAGATGTTATTCTTCCGGTGTGTCTTAGAATCTGAGGGGATTGATAGCTGAAGAATGTGTAATGCTTCATACTTAGATTTTGATGTTGGGAAACCCCTGCCATGGTTCCGATTACAGTAACTGCTGTAGGAATAGCCAGCTGATGCTCAACTATATTATGGAATATTAATTTGTACCATGTCAGGGGTTCCCAACATAAGTCTATGTATGCAGAATATGTGACCTGTCCACCCCTGTAACTATTCACCTTGCAGAGCAGTATAAATTACATTCCAAAATTGTAGTCTTACAGTATTTCACTTTTAATTAGCTATGATAATAATAACCTTCATTTGTTTAGCATTGTCTCATACAAAACGGTGTAGGCCTAGCCAAAAGTTAAGACACAATTCAACTCTCAAGACCTGGGATTTGGGGCAGATCCAGTACACAGTACACACAGCTATCCAGGGTTTGAGTGTGACACTCCTGCTGTTGTAGACCTTAAGTGTCTTCCTTTGTTTGACCTCCCCACTCGTTTAGTGGTGCTGGGGGCTAAAGGAGGCAGCAGCCATATCTTGACCCTGAGAGAGAGAAATAAAGAGAGAGGGATAGAGAGATAGCTCTGATGAGTGTGCCTGAGATAGCAGCAGGGCCAGAAGACTCAGGATGACCTTAAGACACACAGTACCCCGCTCTCTGTCTTTCTCCCAATTATCTCCTTAACCTAATTGGTTAATGAGATAACAAACATAAGATAGGACCAGGCTCCTACAGGTGTTGGACAGATTGGACATTCTTAGGGCAGATTCTATTTTTCAGTGAAAGAGTATTGGAATATGTGTAACCTTTTATATTCATTAATCATATTACAATTTTTTGAAATGTTATAGACTCATGCATTGTTTACAATCTATTTTGCCCCCATTAACAATTTTTGAAAATGCTGTGGTTTTTCATAGACATTCTGTCTACGGCGAAAGTCTGTGTCATTGTCTGTGGATTCCCAGCTGCACTCATCTTCTCTGTGGTACCTTTGAAACACGTCTCTCACAAATTCTCCTCTCTCCCCCTCTCCCTCTCTCCCTCCCCTCAGACACTGAGACGTGTGACTACGGCTGGCATAAGTTCCAGGGACACTGCTACAAGTACATCCCCCAGAGGAGGAACTGGGATACAGCAGAGAAGGATTGTCGGGTACAGGGGGCACACCTCACCAGCATCCTCTCCCATGATGAGCAGCAGTTTGTCAACCGTAAGTGTGATATCACACACACACATGCACATACATGTCACACAAACAATACTATTAGTTGCACACAAGACACAACCAACTAACATTTTCATTACCAGACAGTCAAGCAGACAGACACTCTTGCATAGAAGAATGCTCAATAACACAGTATTAACAATCTGTAAGTTACTTCTACAGTATGTCACAGAAAGTATACCTCTTAAGGCACAACCCCTGCAGGGTAGCAGCAAATAGTAGGATTATCCTACATCTGGAACGGATTTCCAGAAACACCAGGGAATTCCCAAGACTTTTATACCCATGCTGCTCGCCTTAAAGTCTGTATATGCTAATCTCATCAGTGGGCTGTGGACCAATAGTTAAAGAGGCATAGTGGATGACTACAGTAGGTTTCTGGCTGGTTGGCAGCGCCAGTAGAGTAGACGACAAACGTCTCGACAGAGAGAGAGAGAGAACACAGGCAGGCAGTTGGAACAGGAAGAGTGATGCATGTGTAGAAAAATGCCTCTCTCTCTTTATGGAGGGACTGAAAGAGGCCTAATAAGGCAGTGGAATCAACTCATTGACCTCCTGTGTCTCATTGTGCCATGCACGGCAGGTCTTGGACAGGACTACCAATGGATCGGCCTGAACGATAAGATGTACGAGAATGACTTCCGCTGGACCGACAGCATACCCATGGTAAGAAGGGGTTCTCACACTTTTTTGCCTCAATAAACAGTTTTAAATCCTGTTAAATATTTAGAAGGATGATGCTGACAAACACCATCGCATGGGAGATGTCATTTCCTGCGGTAGTGAATGAAGAATCTCGCTGTGGTCACTTTCTCATGACGTACCCTACTTTGTCCTCGACACCCTGTTGGATGAGCGCACTGGCTTGGTGTCATGCTACACTACATGTCCAGTGACATCGGGTGCCACTCACAGACAACAATCTCTGTAATTCACAAACTTTAACAGTAACCACACTGGCTTGAATTGTGTGTCTGAGTGTATGAGAGAGAAAAAATGAGCCACCAGGTGTGCCTCAGTATGTAACGTATGTGTCTGCACAAGTGGAAGCGTGTTTGTTTGTGGTTGTGTAAACTCACTGCAGATTCCCCTCACAAAACAGGAAAGTGGTTAATTACTACTTTCAGCCACATTATACAGATTAACTCTTCACTTCAAAGATAAGAGCCCACCGTCACCAGGGGAGAGGGGGAGGGGGGAAGTGCAGAGAGGGCCTGGGGGGCAGGAGATAAGTTGTGTCCGTTTGCAGCAGGATCCCCTCAGCTGAGAGAGATGGGAATAAAGGTGTCAGTGATGCGGAAGAGAGAGGAGCTGACAGGCGCAGACAGGTACATGCCTCCCCTCTCCCCCCTCTCCTCAGGAGCACAGCAGGCAGCCGGGGGAAGGGCCAACAACCAGCAGCCAGACACACAGATGGGCAGCACCTGTGCCCGGCAGCAGAGAGAGAGAAGGGGGGGGGGGGGCAGGGTAGGGTAGTGGGCCTGGGTGGGTGGTCAGCTTTACTGTATCTCGGCTTTATCTGGGAACAGAGAGTGTATTAACATAACTGGTATTAAATACGAGAAGGAAAAAACACAGACATGCATATAACACGCTCAGCGTTGATTCTCAATTCATTCAGGAAATGTATGAATTCTAGTGTGTGTGTGGGAGGGGGGTGGGTAAGTTTGGTTACGTGGGAGAAAGAGTTTGATTATTTTGGGGAGGATGCGGGGGGCTGTTGTGGGGTTGCCCAGGCGGGTGTTTGTTGAGTCAGTCAGCTGAGCAGGAAGCTGATGTGTTTGCTAACCGTAATAACAGGGTTCCTGCATTGGGCCTCGGGGGAGGAATGGGGAGAGGGGAGGGGGGGTCACAGCTTTGAACAGACTATTTGAACCAAAAGCCTCGCTGAGAGACGGTAGCTCTGATCAATGCAGCAGTGCATTCCACACAGCTCTGAAGCTGTGTCTATATACTGTGTCTGTGTGTGTGTGCAGAGTTACAATACATGCCTGGAATTACTAGTGTTTGTGGGATGTAATGACATACCACTATCGGCGTAGGCCGTCATTGTAAATACGAATTTGTACTAAACGGACTTGCCTAGTTAAATAAAGGTTTTAAAAATATATAGATATACAGTGTATATATTGTATGTTGTTGGAAATGTGTACACCACAGGAGTTTGGTGGCACCTTAATTGGGGAGGACAGGCTTGTGGTAATGGCTAGAGTGGAATAAGTGGAATGTTATCAAATACATCAATCACATGGTTTGATGCCATTCTATTTGCTCCGTTCCAGCCATTATTATGAGCCGTCCTCCCCTCAGCAGCCTCCTCTGGTGGACACTCTTAGAAAAAAGGGTTCCAAAAGGGTTCTTCAGCTGTCCCTATAGGAGAACAGTTTTTGGTTCCAGGTAGAACCCTCTGTGGAAAAGGTTTTACATGAAACCCAAAATAGTTATTCTTGGAACAAAAAGGGTTTTTCAAAGGGTTCAAAGCCGAAGAACAGTTTTAGGTTCTAGATAGCACTTTTTTTCCTAAGTGTGTAGTGTACAGTGACGATAGCAAGGCATTGAGAAGCCTCCGTCTCTTAACCCCACTCCCACCTTGTTAGAAATAAAACAATTCCTAACATAGGAAAATTATATTATTAGTGTAGCATTTGGAATATACTTTCCATGGATGAGTAGATAATATGCAATTCTCCAAAATGGATCTGTGTCCACCATCTTACAAATTGGCAATATGACATTGTATTTGTAGTAGAAACCTTCTATTTCCCATGACTATTTCCATGCTGCTCAGCACATCTCTGTAGCAGTGTAAATGTTTATCTGAGCAGGGCTCACAGGCTGTTTACTTTTCAAGTGAAGCCTCTCTCAGGGTCCCAGTGAAAACGCTGGACAATGATGTCATAGTGTAGCTGGTCTTGCAGTGTCCTTTGGGAACTCTGAGGCAGCAGGGTGGATGGGGTGATGTGAGGATAGAGGACAGATGGGTGGAGGGGGTGAGGATAGAGGACAGATGGGTGGAGGGGGTGAGGATAGAGGACAGATGGGTGGAGGGGGTGAGGATAGAGGACAGAGGGGGTGAGGATAGAGGGGAGGAGGGGGTGACAATAGGGGCTAAGAGAGTGGTCAGAGAGACAGGGGTAGGAGAGTCAGTTTGAAAGAGGGAGAAAGTGAAAAGTGATTTAGCTTACCCAAAGTCACAGTACATTCTACAACTCTTGGTTGCCAGATCTTGGTTTTAAGTAAACATGTGTTTTAAAGAATAAATCTGGTAAAAAAAAAAAAAAAAAAAAGTAGTTGTGTTGTCTATAGGGCCACAACATGACCATTATCATAGTTACAGATGTGTCAATAAGTCTGTTGATCTGAACAGGCAAGAGGAATATAGTGCCCCCCTGTGGGGAATCTAAGCATCACATACATCTGTCACAATTGAGTCATTCAGAAATTGCCTCACCAACGTAGCTACACTTACTACAGTGAACAAAAATATAAATGCAACATGCAAAGTGTTGGTTGCATGAGCTCAAATTAAAGATCCCAGAAATGTTCCATACACACAAAAAGCTTATTTCTCTCAAATGTTGTGCACAAATTTGTTTATATCCCTGTTAGTGAGCATTTCTCCTTTGCCAAGATAATCCATCCACCTGACAGGTGTGGCATATCAAGAAGCTGATTAAACAGCATGATCATTACACAGGTGCACCTTGTGCTGGGGACAATAAAGGGCCACTCTAAAATGTGCAGTTTTGTCATACAACACAATGCCACAGATGTCTCAAGTATTGAGGGAGTGTGCAATTGGCGTGCTGACTGCAGGAATGTCCACCAGAGCTGTTGCCAGATCATTTAATGTCTACCATAATCCAACTGAAACGTCATTTTAGAGAATTAGGCAGTACGTCCAACCGGTCTCACAACCGTCCTGTGGGCGAGTGGTTTGCTGATGTCAACGTTGTGAACATAGTGCCCCATGGTGACAGTGGGGTTATTGTATGGGCAGGCATAAGCTACGGACAACGAACACAATTGCATTTTATCGATGGCAATTTGAATGCACAGAAATACCGTGACGAGATCCTGAGGCCGATTGTGAGGCCCATTTCTTTTAAGGTATCTGTGACCAACAGATGCATATCTGTATTCCAAGTCATGTGAAATCCATAGATTAGGGCCTAATGAAGTTATTTCAATTGACTGATTTCCTCATATCAACTGTAAATCTTTGAAATTGTTGCAATATTTTTGTTCAATGTATATGAAAGGCTATTGGTAACAGACTGTGAATGTGAAACCAATGGCATTTGTTTTTATATTTTCAACAGCAGTGTTGCTCCCTCCTGCTGCATCAAACAATGCATCTTACACATTATTGGTAAAAGCCCAAGTTCCTTTACTATCAATAGAGTCTAACTTGGTACACTTATGTGCAATAGCAAGGGGGAGCTGGTGGGTCGTGTTAGGGGTAAGAAATATTTGGGATTTATTGTGATAGTGAATGTACTGATTGTGTAGCCTTTGCCCTAGAGGTGGCTTAAGACTGGACTATCACTGACCATATCTACTGTTCCAATTTTACCACAGAGATAAGCAGTGTTGTCAGCATGCCGTTAGCTGTCATTCTTAGATAAAGAGAGTGCGTGTTTATGTATTGTATTCAGGTAGGACAAAGTGAGACACTGGCTAGTGGAAAATCTCTAAGTTGTATTTACGGAGATCCTGGTCTGATCCTACTTGATTTAATGGTATGCCAATTTGTTGTTTAGGACTTATGATTTATTGATGATGCACTGTCCATATAGTTAGGCTGATCATGTATTTTACTTTTTATATTATCATCACATTTTATATATGTTTCTCCATATGTACCAATATGTTGAAATGAACTTAAACCTGATGATGACGATGATCATCCATTCATATGTTTTTTTTTCCGTTTTTTTTCCCATCAGCAATATGAAAACTGGCGTCCCAACCAGCCGGACAGTTTCTTCTCGTCTGGAGAGGACTGTGTGGTGATGATCTGGCACGAAGACGGCCAGTGGAACGATGTGCCCTGCAATTATCACCTCACCTTCACCTGCAAGAAAGGCACAGGTAAGACAAAGTTATTTCTTGTTGTTTTTATTTTAATTTTCTTTGAAATGTGTGTTGAGACAATAAATTGTGACTTGACTGGACTGAATACAATTTTTAAAAAAGCCACAACAATACTTTTTGCCATATTTTAGATACGGGACTGTGTTCACCACACCTACACAATGTAAAAAATACAGTGCATTGTTGAGCTATTCCAGTCCACTGACTGTGTACATTATTCATTCATTCATTCATTCATTCATCTATTCAGCCATCTACCCCTGTGTGTTCTCCTCAGTGGCCTGTAGTCAGCCCCCTCTGGTACTGAACGCTCAGACCTTCGGCAGGAAGAGGTCACGCTATGAGATCAATGCTCTGGTGAGGTACCAGTGTAAGGACGGCTTCATCCAGAGGCACGTGCCAACCATCCGTTGCCGTGGAGACGGCCGATGGGACATCCCCAAAATTGCTTGCATGAGTCGTAAGTACAGTAGATTGAGTGACGCTAGTGAGGATACCTTTGTTTACTGGTTTTCACTCCACAAGTGCTATTGTTTCTCCCTTAGCATCAAACTTCCAAAGGACCTTCTCAAGGAGGCACCAGAGCTACAGCCTGTTCAGCAGTAACAACTACAAGCGGCGGTCCGACGAGGCGGAGGCCCGACACAGTCCTCGCCATCAAGGAAGGAGAGCGAGGAGATCGGTGAACAGGCGAAACAGAAGACGGTGATCGCCATGGTTAGGCTAGATCACGCCTACTCACAATCCGCAGAGCCTACACTATAGGAACGCATGACTGTCACTCGTGGAGATTTGTTTTTTTACAAAAGAAAAATACATTTTAATAAAAAAGGAACAAAATAACTAAAAAAAGAAACCCAAAGGAAATGTGAAATTTTCTTGCCATTTTGATGATGGAATCTTGGAATGAAGTGCCTTTTCAAATAATATTCTGATAAAGGGACACAATTTTATAACAACGCCAAAGTGGATACCTTCCGCTGGCTACTGGAAAATAAGAAAAATTACCTCATGAGTGTGCTGGGGAAGAACTTTGAACCAAATAGTGCATTCATTAGACAGTTTTCTCTATTTTACAGACTAAAGATTGTTCAACTCTTACATGGGGAAAAAGATACAGGCAAATACCAGCTTTTGTGAAATTATAGCGCTTGTGTTATGCAAAAGAATACAATACATTTCCAAATAGTCTGCTACGCAGCTCCTAACGCTCAAATGAATCCACATTACCCAATACATCTCTCCACTAAGGTCCTCTCCATAATCCGAAAATACAATTTCAAAGAAAAAGGATCTATCCTTGGGTAAATCATCACGTCAATAGAGGTCTTGTTGTTACAAATGATTACTGTATTTTGTACCGTTTTTCATCCAAGATTTCAGCTTCACCAGAGGAACGGAGCAGGTCCTGGAACTATTGGATGGCACACGTCACTTACCAATCAGATTTCAGATCACTGAAAAAAATAAAAAAAACATGGGAAAGGGCGATCCAATCAATTTAGAGTGCTGGAGACCTTTCGTTTTGTGACGGCAGCTTTGAACAAATGACCAGTTCCTTGTCATCCGCTGCAGCCTTCATCCCGTCTACTCTGTGTCTTGTAAAGATAAATATAAATGAATAGATATATAAAGAATATATTATACATTGATAATGGATGCTGTTTTCTTAGGTCAATGTAAAATGACAATTGAGAGAATGTACTCCGTGAAACACTCCAAGACTTGAACAAACACCTTTTTCAACAAGAGATGCAATATTTATTTTTCAAGCTGCTTTTCCTCTTCTTGCTATGCTATTGCTTCAACAGTAAAATATTCTGATGATGCAATCAGTTGGTCTGACTACAGCCTCAATACTTTGTACATGCTTTGCAGGAGACAGCTAACATCACAGTATTAGTCAGTGTGATGAAGATATTCCTTTACTACACACTAAGCTAGATAGACCTTATAGTATGACATTTAGGGGTCAACAATGGACCAAAGTGTAGGGCTTCAATCAGCTGAATATGCCTTGTCCCCGTCACAATATTACCAAACACTTTGTACAGATTCTGTGTTGCACAGTTGATTACTGTCATCAATTTGTGTAGTCCCCAGCAGTTGTGCTTTTTAAAACCGTTTTTGTATGTTTGTCTCGTTTTGTCAGTTGTGTTTTAGCATTAAAGTCGGCATAATGTTTTATATTCATAGTATAACTTTTTATATTAAAATGTGAATGTCTGTGATGTTTATGAAATTCATTTTTAAAGAAAACAAGACAATTTTTTTCCTGCTCTCTGTCGCCAAATAATAAATATATGTTTGTACATTTTACTTAGGCTCCTTTTTGTTTGTAAAGTCACCACCATTACATTCATTGACAGTCTGGGAGAGGCTAGGTTTCAAACCATGTTACAAACCATGATTTAACGTTCAAAGTAAGCTTAGACTTTTATGATTGTGGTGGTCAACATGACCTCTCTGTGTTAGTAGTACAGTCCTATTACCAGCAGGTTGCGCTGTTCAACCTTTGCACTACAGTAGTTGCAAGACATTACATTTCCTGCCTCAAATCTTTGTCTACAAGAACAGCTACTGTCAATGCACTGGGATGGTTACTTTTACTTGAAAATCTTTAACTCCTGAACATTGGTTCCTTGCGACAATGCAACATGTATCGAGGAGGTGCCCTATTCCCGTCTGAATGTTTTAATGCACGACAGTGTTTAGGGTTTAAAGAGAATGGTGCAACAAACAAGAAACATCCAGTCAGCGGCAGTCCTGTGGGTGAAAACAGCTCGTTGATGAGAGGTCGAAGGAGAATGGCAAGAATCGTGCAAGCTAACAGGTGGGCCACAAACAGACAAATAACGGTGCAGTACAACAGTGGTGTGCAGAACGGCATCTCACAACTCTTCTTCATCTTTCTTTCATCCTTGTCATGGATGGGCTATTGCAGCAGATGACCACACCGGGTTCCACTCCTATCAGCTAAAAACAAGAAGTGCATCCAGTGGGCACGCGATCACCAACACAGGACAATTGAAGAGTGGAAAAACATTGCCTGGAATGACAGCGAGTCCAATTTACTTGAGTGGCCTGCGCAGTCCCCAGACCTCAACCCAATTTAACATCTTTGGGATAAGATGGAATGGGCTGTTCGCAGCATGAATGTACCGCCGTCCAATCTGCAGCAACTGTGTGATGCCATCGCGTCAGCATGGACCAACATCCATGTGGAATTCTTCCTACACCTTGTATAATGCCTCGAATAATTCTGGCTGTTCTGGAGGAAAAGTGGGTCCAACCCGGTACTAGATAGGTTTACCTAATAAACTGGCTGGTGAATGTATTTTAAAATGTGAATGATATGAGAGAACAAATTAATTGAATTAGAGGAAATGTAATGGCTACCAAAGCAAGACTCCATATTGTTGTACAGTTCACATTCTAACACAACCCTCACACACTTTGAGGCACAAGTCCTCTCCATACCATTATCACATTTGAACACAGCTCCCTAATGGTTTTGAGGCCTGCACAGCACACTATAAATAAGTTATCCAGGGCTTTTGTGCACACGTCCTTGCAGGGAGAAACATTACATGCGAATCTGGAAAGTGAATTATGCTTATTCCACAAGCCCACCTACAGACATACAGTAAGGGAAAAAAGTATTTCATCCCCTGCTGATTTTGTACGTTTGCCCACTGACAAAGACATGATCAGTCTATAATTTTAATGGTAGGTTTATTTGAACAGTGAGAGACAGAATAACAACAAAAAAATCCAGAAAATCGCATGTCAAAAATGTTATAAATTGGTTTGCATTGTAATGAGGGAAATAAGTATTTGACCCCTCTGCAAAACATGACTTAATACTTGGTGGCAAAACCCTTGTTGGCAATCACAGAGGTCAGACGTTTCTTGTAGTTGGCCACCAGGTTTGCACACATCTCAGGAGGGATTTTGTCCGACTCCTCTTTGCAGATCTTCTCCAAGTCATTAAGGTTTCAAGGCTGACGTTTGGCAACTCGAACCTTCAGCTCCCTCCATAGATTTTCTATGGGATTAAGGTCTGGAGACTGGCTAGGCCACTCCAGGACCTTAATGTGCTTCTTCTTGAGCCACTCCTTTGTTGCCTTGGCCGTGTGTTTTGGGTCATTGTCATGCTGGAATACCCATTCACTACCCATTTTCAATGCCCTGGCTGAGGGAAGGTGGTTCTCACCCAAGATTTGACGGAACATGGCCCCGTCCATCATCCCTTTGATGCGGTGAAGTTGTCCTGTCCCCTTAGCAGAAAAATACCCCCAAAGCATAATGTTTCCACCTCCATGTTTGACGGTGGGGATGGTGTTCTTGGGGTCATAGGCAGCATTCCTCCTCCTCAAAACATGGCGAATTGAGTTGATGCCAAAGAGCTCCATTTTGGTCTCATCTGACCACAACACTTTCACCCAGTTCTCCTCTGAATCATTCAGATGTTCACTGGCAAACTTCAGACGGCCCTGTATATGTGCTTTCTTGAGCAGGGGGACCTTGCGGGCGCTGCAGGATTTCAGTCCTTCACGGCGTAGTGTGTTACCAATTGTTTTCTTGGTGACTATGGTCTCAGCTACCTTGAGATCATTGACAAGATCGTCCTGTGTAGTTCTGGGCTGATTCCTCACCGTTCTCATGATCATTGCAACTCCACGAGGTGAGATCTTGCATGGAGCCCCAGGCCGAGGGAGATTGACAGTTATTTTGTGTTTCTTCCATTTGCGAATAATCGCACCAACTGTCTCACCAAGCTGCTTGGCGATGGTCTTGTAGCCCATTCCAGCCTTTTGTAGGTCTACAATCTTGTCCCTGACATCCTTGGAGAGCTCTTTGGTCTTTGGGGTCAAATACTTATTTCCCTCATTAAAATGCAAACCAATTTAAAAAAATTTTGACATGTGTTTTTCAGGATTTTTTTGTTGTTATTCTGTCTCTCACTGTTTAAATAAACCTACCATAAAAATTATAGACTGATAATTCTTTGTCAGTGGGCAAACGTACAAAATCAGCAGGGGATCAAATACTTTTTTCCCTCACTGTAGATTCATGGAGATGTAATTGGTAGGCTGAGTGTGAATTATGGTCAGCATATGGAACAGAGAGATGAGAAGGGGGAAGAAAATGGAACTTATGCCCAAATGGATGACATTGCAGAAAGAGTAGTTTTCATAAATCACAATATTTTCTTTCAGTAACGAGTTAAGTTATTCCTCTTGGCTCCGGAGCGCAGGTCTATGTTGTGAAACATAGAGAAAGCAGGCTGATATTATATTATTGGCCAGTGACTCTGGGGACTTGCTGAACAAGACATGCGGCGATAGCCGACACCTACATTGCTGATGTTTTGTCGGTGTCAGAGGTATAACTGCGTTGGAGCTGTCAAATCGGTGAGTAGCTGCTCTTGATCATTGTCACTAAGCCTTCCTATCCCACTCGCGTTAGAAGTTCAGAATGAGTAAGTGTAGCTAAATAGAAATAATGACACTCAAATTGAAAATCATTAAACAAAATAATGAGGATTTCTATCAGCCTAATCGAGGTGTAGATTACATCTCACATTCCAGTGTTCAAACTTGTAAGGAAAGCTGCATGGTATTTCTGTTAATGTGGCTCCGTTAAACCAATGGCAATGCCCACTTAAGGCCACCTCCGACACGTCAAAACAATCGCTATGTCGGC